GGAGAGAAGAGAGATAAACACTGATTTGTTGTTCCACTTATTTATGCATTCATTGGTTGATTTTTTTTATGTGCTCTGACCTGGGATTAAACTCGAAACCTTGGCAAATTGGGATGATGCTTTAACCAACTGAGTTACCTGGCCAGGCTTGTGTTTTAATTGTTAATGGAAAAGCTTTTTTTATGGAATTAGACAATTTGATATAAGTTAATATGGAAAAAAAAACATGCAAGAATGGCAGGAAAACACTAAAAAATCTACAAGAGGAGACTAGCCCTAGCTTACATAAGAACATACTATAAAGTCTATGTAATTAATTAATGCAGTGTGGTACTGGTGTATGAAGAAACAGTAGGTTAATGGGTTAGTATAGAAAGCAGATATAGACCAGATACCTATGAAAATATAGTATATGGTAAATGACGGGGCAAAGATGGACTTTTTAATAAATGATGCTGTGACAACTAGGTAACCATTTGGAAAAAGATAAAATAGGTCATATTTCACATCATACAAAAGAAACTCCAAATGAATCAGATATCTAAATGAAAAAAAGAATGAAATCATACATGTTCTAGAAGGAAATTCCTTGCTGTTAAGAAAATCAAGAGGCAATAAAAGATTGATAAATTTTAGTGCATAAATGTGGTGGGGTTCATAGCACCTTAAAGAAGATCAAGGCAGTGATACCCATTATCTCTCCTGCTATTCACATTGTGCTCTAGGGGTTTAGCCAGTACAGTTAGATAAAATGAATCAGTTGTGGAGACATAGAATTGGTAAAGAAGAATTAAAGGTATAATAGCTCTTGTTTGCAGATGATATGATAGTATACTTTGAGAACCCTAGAGAATCAATGATAAAACTAAGTGGTAAATTAGTATGGTAGGCTATAAAATTAACATAGCTTACCAATGTCACCTCAATAAATTCAATTAAAAAGTTTTAAAAAAACAAAAACAAAAACCACAAACAAAAACCTACCCTAGCCAGGTAGCTCAGTTGTTTAGAGCATTTGTCCCCACACGCCAAGGGTGCAGGTTCAACCTCCAGTCAAAGCATATACAAAAAAACAACCAATCCTATATAATAAAAGGGTAATATGCAAATAGACCAAATGGCAGAACAACCAAACAATCAGAGCGTAATATGCTAACGATATGCTAAGGCTGCTCAACCACTCCCTATGATGTGCACTGATGACCAGGGGGCAGATGCTCTGACCGGTAGGTCAGCTTGCTGCTGGGGTCTGGCTGATTGGGACTGAGCGAGATGGGCCAGACACGCCCTGGAGCCCTCCCTCAGTCCCTCCCTGGCTTGATCGTGCTCCGGTGGGGTCCCTCTGCCTTGGCTGTGCCCTCTCGCAATCTGGGACTCCTTGGGGGATGTTGGAGAGCTGGTTTCACCTGGATCCCACAGGCCACTCCCCTTGGGAGGGCACCAGACGCAGGACTGATTGGGCGCAAGTCCATGGCAGGCACAGTGGGGCCAGGATGAGCAGGAGAGGCAGGTAGGAGCTGCAGGTGGCGTTGAATTGCAGGTGGGTGTTGAACTGCAGGTTTCGGCCCAATCCCTGCAGGCCACCCAGAGGGACCTCACCCATGTATGAATTCATGCACTGGTCCTCTAGTGAATGTATAAACAAGTAGAACAACAAAATCAGTGTCCTTCTCACTCCCTTTCTCTTTAAAATAAAAACCAAAACCAAAAACTAATAGTTTTTCTATACACAAATAACCAGTTAGAGGACATAAAAGGGAAAAAAACACAGCCCTATTTATAGTAGTAACATGGAAGATGAAATGCTTGAGAGATGTGCAAAAATAAAATAAAAGGAGAAATGTGCAAAGCCTAAAAGATAAACTTTAAACCAATCCTTGAAAGATACAGAGGTCAACTTGAACAAATGGAAAGATAGTCCTTTTTCTTGGCGAGAACAGCTTAACATAAGATGACAGTTCTCCACTATTAATTTATAATTTTTAAAAAATATTTTTATTGATTTTTTTACAGAGGAAGGGAGAGGGATAGAGAGTTAGAAACATTGATGAGAGAGAAACATCGATCAGCTGCCTCCTGCAACCCCCCCCACCAGGGGTGTTCCCGCAACCAAGGGACATGCCCTTGACCGGAATCTAACCTGGGACCCTTTAATCCCCAGGCCAACGCTCTTTCCACTGAGCCAAACCGGCCAGGGCTTAATTTATAAATTTAATGCAGGACCAAAAAAATACCAACAAGCATGTTTCTGTGGAGTTAGACAAGTTGATAATAAAGTTCACATGGAAAAGTAAAAATGCAAGAGTTATTAATGGAAGTTCTTTTCTTTAGGATAATTGGGATGATGAGGAGGAGGAAAAAAAAGAGGAAGCAGAAGTAAAACCAGGTGAGCCACTGGGGTTTCTACATTTTTGGTTTTATGTCTTGGTGAGTATCTGGTACTTATGTTGAGACAAATGACAAAAAACTCACAAAACTGAAAATTTTGGTATTTAGAAACCAAACATCCTTTCATTCCCACATTATTCTCTTCTCCCTGCATCTCTTCTCTCATCTCAAAACATAATTAGATTAGATACATGCTTTTTTTTTTTTAGTATTATGAGAGAGTAAAGGGTATGGTATCATAGTTGAATGATCTAAGTCCTGCCTAAAGGACTATGGGAAAATATGAAGGCAGGTGTGTGGATCTTAGGGGTCAGGTTAGAGAGGAAAAAGGGAGAGTTCCAGAACTTTCCTATTCTTATTTGCCAAGAAATCACCATATGAAATTGGAGCTGGGAGAGGGTTGGCTTCTTGAAGTATACAAGTATCATGTCTGTCTCATCCATAAACTGGAAAATATTCAAAATAATTGATTTAAAAATTTCTTTACTTTTAGAAGTAAAAATTTCAGAAAAGAAAAAAATAACAGAGAAGATAAAAGAAAAAGAACGGCAACAGAAGAAAAGGCAAGAAGAAATTAAAAAGAGGGTAAGTACTATTGATTTTCTAAAATATAGAACTCTCACATCAGTAGTAGTACAGTGTCTTAACAGGCAACAGATACTACCTTGCAATTTGAGGGGCTTTGTAAAGACGTTAAATGTACACCATCAATAAGTTAATCCCAAAACTGAATTTGTGGTTTTTACAAAAACCAAACCTAGAAACTTTATGTATTAGAATGCCTTTTAAGTTTTCACAAACATTCGGGAACAGTTATAATTGTGTAATGACCACAGTCATATAAAAAGTGTCCGTTTCTCTGCCAGGTACTGTATGTTTATTTATTTATTTATTTTTATTTTTTTAAATTTCTTTATTGATTAAGTTATTACATATGTGTCCTTATCCCCAAATTACCCCTCAAACCCCCCACTCATGCCCTCACCCCCATTGTCTGTGTCCATTGATTAGGCCTATATACCTGCATATAAGTCCTTCGGTTGATCTCTCCACCTTACCCCCACCCTCCCCTACCTTCCCTCTGAGGTTTGACGGTCTGATCGATGCTTCTCTGTCTCTGGATCTGTTTTTGTTTATCATTTTGTTGTTCATTATATTCCATAAATGAGTGAGATCATGTGATATTTATCTTTCTCTGACTGGCTTATTTCACTTAGCATAATGCTCTCCAGTTCCATCCATGCTGTTGGAAGTGCTTCTTATTGTTTTGATTTTTGAATCATTTAAATGTGTTTTCTATTTAAAAAAAAACAAACACAAATTAATACAAGATTCCTGATCTTGTTCCAAATATTCAACAACAAAAACACATAGTTATCAATAGCATGATGAATAATCATACACCTCACAGTTGTTAATATTTTGCCATATTTGCTTCATCTATTTTTTGCTAAAATAAGATAAATAACACACATTATGCATTTTACAATACTTCAGAGCAGCGGTTGCCCACCGGTGGTCTGCAGACCACTGGTGGTCCATGAGGTCCAAAAGGTTGGCGAATGCTGCTTTAGAGGTAATGCTGTGTGCTTCATATTGCTTCACATCACATCAGTAGTCATGTAATGTCTGTCCTATTATTAGTGATGCTAAAATTGATCACTGGGTTAAAGTTGAGACAGCCTGATCCTTCTCATAAAATTAGATATTTCTTCTGGCAAATAATCCAATTTCACGACAGCTTCTCACCCAATAGTTTTGTATCACTGATGATCATTGCCTAATTATTTCATTAGATATTACAGAATAGTGATTTTTCTCATTGTGACTTATCTTCCCTTTTTTTTGTCTGGCTTTTTTTTCTTCTTTTGCTATTTGGTTCCTTTGGATATGGTTTGTACTAGAAAGAGTAAAAGCTTAATTCTTTTCCTTTTAATTATAAATTTTCAGAGTAAAGAGGGATATAATAACTTCATGTGGTGAAAAATGAAGGATTTTGTGGATTTTGAGTAAATTTATGGACTTGGAGATTTTTATAAATTCATTGTGTTTTACTAACATAACAGTAGTTTTTTTGATGGTCAAACTGTCCCAACTTTGGCCAGTAGGAGTCCCTTTAAGTAGTTTCTATCTTTATCCTTTTGACAGGGACCCCATTAGTCTTTGAAAGCTTCCTTGTTTCTGATACAATAAGAAGTGCCAGCCTTACCCGATAAACATTCTTTATTAAGCCTGGAATTAGCTACTCCTCTGAGGTTTCTTTTAGTGGAAAATAATATATAGAGGCCAAATCTAGATGCCTGTAGTACTTAGTGTTATTGTGATAGCCTACACCCCTTTTCGTGGATTAATAAGCTAAGAAAGTAAGGTGTGTATGTGTGATCATTAGTTCATATTGATATTTTTTCTTATTCTGACAACACTTTTTTATTATTTTTTTTTTACAATACCAATATTACTAACAAGGTAGAGCTACTGAATGAATTTTAGGATTTCCTTGCAATTCATTTTGAGCTTTGAATATGTCCTGCTAAGGATGTATATTATGTCCTGGGTTCTAAAGTCATTTGAATTCTCTTCCCAGTGGCATTATGTCTAGTTTGGTACACTTTTTTGTTTGTTTGTTTTCAGTTTTAAGATATTTATTTATTTATTTATTTATTTATTTAATTCTCACCTGGGAATCAAACCCACAGCCTTTTGGTATATGGGACGACTCTCCAACCAACTGAGCTGGCTATGGCTTAACTTTATTTCTTTTTTTTTTTTTTTTAATATATTTCAGCTTCTTAAATTTGCTAGGCCTTGAGCACCTCACTATCCCTCCTTGTGTGCTCCCTTAGTCCTGCCCACATATCTGAAAATTGTATTTAAGGTTTTACTCTAAGATGAAAAGTCACTACAGGGTAGAACAAAGATGTAATATGATTTGACCTGTTTTAAAAGGAGTATCCTGGATAGATAGGATGAAATAATAAGAAGAGGAGCCATTTAAGAAGATTTACTTCAATATAAAGATAAATGGTGATGGTTAACAAGATCATATGGTTATAGAATCTGGATTTTAAGCTTTCCTATTTTCAGGAATTCTCATTTGTGTATATAATTAGTGGAACCTAGTAGGTTGCAGTCTAATATCAGGCAGATCTTTCCTCTCCTACCTTTTTTTTTCATTGCTTAAAGTATTATATATGTCTCCTTTTTCCCCACAATTGACACCCTCCCAGGCACTCCCACCCCCCAGGACAAGCCCCCACCACCCCAGTGTCTGTGTCCATTGGTTATGCTAATATGCATGCATACAAGTCCTTTGGTAGATCTCTAACCCCTACTCCCCTGCCATAAATCTTTATTGTTAAAAGTATTACATATGTTCCCTTTTCCCCCTCATTGACCCCTTCCAGCCCGCCCCTCCATCCCAGGCCTTCACCACCCTATTGTCTTTGTCCATGGGTACATACAAATCTAACATAAACCTTACTTTGAATGTACTCAGTTTATCTTAGGCCAGGTATTGAGTTAATATATATTTAGCTTTGATGCAGGAAATACTTGATGTCAACACTTAACTGTTAGACAAATAAGTCAAGATACTTCCCTTTTTCTTTCTAGCAAGTGTTTGAGATTTCCTAACTTGGCATAATGAACTTTCTCATTTCATCTTCTCCATGAGAAATAAAATGATTATTTCAGAAGTGGACTTCTGAATCAAAATCCTCAGACTGCATAGGCATGGATAATTATGAATGACACAAATTCCCTTCACTTTTCCCACTTGGATAAATATTGTCGCAGATTTCCCCTTATTATAGTAAAAGCAGTGTGTGTGTGTTGTAGAAAATTATATCATAGTATATAGAAATGTTAACTGTCATCTCAGTGGTATGTGATTGGGAAATAAGTGTTTTTATGTCTGCATATTATTATCATATGGATATGCCATACTTTATTTAACCATTTGGTTGTTGAACATTCAAGTTGGTTCTAAATTTAGTTGAAATTATAAATAAAGACTTGATCTTATTACCAAGTTGCCCTAGGAAGATTGTTTCAGTATACAGTGTTAGCAGCAGAATGTGAGTACCATTTTCACTCTGTCTATAATCTCAAATCTTTTTTTTTTTTTTTTTTTTACAATTTCAATTCTCCTTTTAAAAAAATATTTTTATTCATTTCAGAGAGAGAGGGAGAGGGCGAGGGAGAGAGAGAGAGAGAGAGAGAGAGAGAGAGAAACATCAATGATGAGAGAATCATTGATTGGCTGTCTCCTGCATGCCCCCTACTAGGGATAGAGCCCACAACCCAGGCATGTGCCCTTGACTGGAACTAAACCCAGGACCCTATCCACTGAGCCAAACCAGCTAGGGCTCAATTCTTTACTTTTAGAAAAGGTTGTAGAAATAAGCTCAGTCTTCCTGGATTCGAATCTCAGCTCTTTCCCATTACAAGCTGTGTTAACCTGTTACCATGGGCAAGTTGCTTAACCTCTCTGTGCCTCAGGTTTTTTCCCTTTAATATTAGGATAAGAATATCTAAAATGTTTAGAAGAATGCCAAAATGCAGTATGTATATACTTTTAAGTGTTTGCTATTATTTATGATTACATGTGCTTATAAAAAAATTCATAGAAAATAGATGTACTAGATCCACCTATCATGATTCCAGCCCTTTTAAAACTTCACTTCTGTATCATTTTAGTTAGAAGAACCTGAAGAAACAAAAGTACTAACACCAGAAGAACAATTAGCAGATAAACTTCGGCTAAAGAAATTACAGGAAGAAGCAGACCTTGAATTAGCAAAAGAAACTTTTGGTAAGTGGGAGATACTGAGGTTTCAAGTAATTATTGTGAAAATCTTAGTAGTTATGAAAGTTTAGAAAACATCTTTTTTGAAGAAACATATTACTGGCTAATTTAGGTATTAGCAGTTTTTATTCTCTTTATTTTTGAGGTTTCAAATGAATTATGGTAGAGTGAGACGCATATTTAGATTTTTGAATAATTATGTTTTGAGTATTAAATAAAATATATTTTTCTAAACTATGTTTTCAATTGATTTTTTTTAGAGAGGAAGGGAAAGAGAGAGATAAAAACATCAGTGAGAGAGAAACATTGATCTGCTGCTTCCTGCACGCACCCCACCAGGGATCAAGCCCATAACCCAGGCATGTGCCCTGACTGGGAATCGAACTGGCAACCTCTTGGTTCATGGGTTGATGTTTAACCACTGAGCCATACCAGCCACGCCAAATAAAAGATTATTAAGATAAAAGTCATTGGATCCAAATAAAGTCTACCACTTTGTAAAATATATTTATCAACGGTGTGAAATTTGGATGGAATGTGAGGTCTGTAGCTTTGAGATTTAAATACCAAACTACCTGTAGGGCTGTCCTGTTGTCTTAATTAAGTCTGAATAAGACTTAGTATTGCATGCTAGTGCTGGGAGAGAGGGGTGGTGGTGAGAGGGTGGTATTACACTTTGATTGTGCCTTCTTGTGCTCAGAGTAATTTCTTTCTGCAACCCTTCTTGGCCCTCACCATGCCCTTTCTCTACCAGTGGTTCTCAACCTTCCTAATGCCGCGACCCTTTAATACAGTCCCTCTTGTTGTGGTGACCCCCAACCATAAAATTATTTTTGTTGCTACTTCATAACTGTAATTTTGCTACTGTTATGAATCGTAATGTAAATATCTGATATGCAGGATGTGTTTTCAGGGGTCGCGACCCACAGGTTGAGGACCGCTGCAGACGGCTTCCATTCTGTGTGCCATACCTGCAGCTATGGTTAGTGCATGAGATAAAAGACATGTTCAAGGTCCTGTAAATAGATAAGTTCAGAGTGTCCCAGGAGGAGAGTTACATGGCACAGAGGGTAAAAGAAAGGAACATGCCCAGAGAAAGTAAAAGCTCTCATTTTAACCAAGTTTATTGTTGTCAGCTATTGAGTACTTTGTAGAGTAGAAGATCATATTGAAACAGTTAAATAACTGGAAATTGAAACCTAGAGCCAAAAACAATCTAGTTTTCCCCTCATTCCTTTTCTTTAAAACAATCAAGCAGGCTGACTGTAGTAATCATTTCCTTTTTATGGGAAGTGTGACCTTATCTTTCACTGGGCCACTAGTAATCTCAAGAGTTGCTGTTGATGCTCCTGTCTGCTGGAATGTGCTTGCAATGTCTTAACTGCACTCATCTCATCACAGAGGGCACTCAGCCATTCTCTTGTGTCTTCAAGGATGGTAAAAGCCGCCCATGTGTTTATTAAAGAGAAGGGTTTATGTGGTACCCATAAATCCTAATATAGGACACCAATTACAGATTAAAAGGCCAAAACATGCATACATACAGTCATTGTTTGGTTAATAGGATTTCAGTGTTGTGTTTTTCATATTAAAATACTGAATCAGTGGCATTGTTAACAACTAATTTAGACTACTGAGGACACAAAAGTGTACCGACATATTAATTTTTCTATTGGGATTTAACACATAGTTTGCTCCTGCTTAGCTTCTAGAGTTAGTTAGCTGGATACTTTCACAGAAACCATCGTTTTCTTTGCTTTTTTCCTTCTCTCCCCACTTCACTCTGGGCTGTTCTTGGACAGATGCCTTAAGAGCATTCTTTTGTGCTAGGGACTCCTTTGGCATGGCAGTCTGCCAAAACCTGTGGGCCCCTTTTTAATCTCATGTTTTTAAATGCATAAAACAAAACACACAGGACTTTACTTACAAAATAAATCTTTTGAAATAAATATTGAAATAGCTCTCAAAATATTAAAATAACTTTTGATACAATAATTACATGGTTCTTTAATGTATTGAGTAAGACCTAGAGCAGGTCTAATAACTAATGTAATTTTAAAGTAATAATGACTGTGAATAATGTTTCACGATATCTGAGACAACTGTAATGTGAAAGGAAAGTATCTGATCTCTGTTGGTAACAGTCAGGTTTTGCGTCTGTGATTTGTTGCCGGTAATCAAAATGGAAGGAAACTAGAGGTTAGTAAAAATAAAAGCTATAATTTTTTTCTCATCCAAATTCACAGGCCCCTTGAATTCTGTTCAAGGTCCCAGGTTAAGAATTTCTGCTTTAGAATGATGTAGCAGGGTTGTTCAGGTATCTAATTGGTTTATAAACTTTAAAAATATCTTTCTGATATTTGCAGTGCTCCCTTTCTATTACAGGTGTTACTAATACAGTTTTTGGAATAGATGCTATGAACCCATCTTCGAGAGAGGACTTCACAGAATTTGGAAAGCTACTAAAAGATAAAATTACACAATATGAAAAGTCATTATATTATGCCAGTTTTTTAGAAGCCTTAGTTCGAGATGTGTGTATTTCATGTAAGTAATTCTAATCTCTAGCCCCTGCGGGTGGATTTTAGTAAGGGCACACTCAAGAAGATGGAGGTTGACTTTTTGCGGGGCTGGGAGGAGGAATGCTATAATATACAGACTTAGTATTTACTTTTTAGTAGTTACTATGAGAATGGTGTTCTGCAAACATGCAATTAGTTTGAATGGTTTTGTTCCTTTTTGAGGCTGCCTTCTTAATGTTTTTACAATTGTTTCCCAAGGAGACATCTGAGATTTGTTGCCACAGCAGCTAATAGAGCACTAGCTTATTCTTTTATCTAATTATATCTCGAAAGGGGCTAGGAAGTGTCTTTTGGGGAAAATGCTCTCTGGGCATATAAGATTTTAGAGCTGAGATCACAGCAATTGTATGTTCCTTTTATAAATGAAGAAGCCTGTGACCAGGTGCAAGTCGCTCAACAGAGCTAGCACCTATTCTCTGGGTCCATGGGTGTGGTGCTGTGCCCTGAGAGAGGAGTCAGTCACACATTTCAGAGGCTGGGTGTGGGAGTGACAACCAGGGGTGGTGCAGCACCAATACAATAAGGGACTGGTTTTGCTAGTATTTACTGTTTTTAACACATTGCGTACCGCATAGAAATCTCTAAGACATACGCCAGGGACCGCATGTTTTTGGGCAAACTGCACGTTTTTTAAATCATCATAATGCACTTTAGGTGCTGTTTTTCAATAATTATAACATTTTTATTTACAAAAACAATTAAACAATTAAAGTTCCTAGTACTTTTTTAACGTATGGTACTGCGTAAAATATTTTCCTCTATGAAGAGGGACCAAACAAAATTTACATAAGTATCTAGATTCGCTCCTTTTTCCATGGGCGTGAAAAACGAGAACACTCATGAGCAGCCCTTAACAGATGGCACGCGAAACACGAGAAAACTCCTGAGCGGTATGAAATGTGTTAAGATTGAGGAAAAGGAATTTTACATAATGGATTTTAAATTGGGTTTTGAGAAATTATTACTAAGTTGGGGGTTATTTGATGAGTTATATCCCCAGAGTTGGTCTTTTCTGCATATACTATTTTTCCTGTTTTTGAAGGAGCTCCCTAATCAAAACTAGATACTTTTTTGGTAGCTAAAAACTGTTTTCAGTTTAATATTTTTATAAAGATAGGAGGATATATTGTTGTTCACTAAAAGATGTTGTCTCCTGGTAGGACACAGATTTCTGAGATAGCTACTACTTTCATTCTAGTTCCTGTGCTAGAAAATGGAGACTCCAGGAGGTGGGGAGTTGTCATCTGTAGGTTTAAGAATTATTATTCCATGTTCATTTACTGAGCATCAAGGATGTTATGGAAGGGCATGGTTATCTGTATGTTTGGTGGGGAAAGGAGAATAGGAGGGAACACTGAGCTGTAAAGGCACTTAGTTTCTCTTTGGTTAGCATTGGTGTCTTGGTGATAACAGGTCATTATAAAGATAAATTTTTGTTGCTGAGTTTGCCATTTTATTCTATACTAGAGGCCCCACACACAAAATCGTGCAGGGAGGGTCCTAGGGCCTAGCCTCCTGTGATCAGGGCCATCTTCTGCCTGTTTAGCAGTCCCAAGGCCGAACACCACCTCTGTTGCCGGCCGGTCAGACTGTTGGGATCACTAGCTCATCCCCGGCTGCTCAGGGGCTCAGGCCTGTAGAAAAGCAGGCGGCGGCGACTTCACCTCCATGTGCGTGCACTGGGCCGGCTGCTGATGGAACACGCTGCCCACTTGGGGCCGCTCACGCGGGCGCCGCTGCTGCTGCTGGGGCTTGAAGTCCTGACGGAAGCTGCGGGGCACACCCGCGACCTACCCGCCCAGGC